TGTTTAATTTGACCAAAGAGGGACAGAGCAAGGAAGGGGGTGGGAATGAGAAAGCAGGCTGCCAGGTCCAGGACTCAAACCTTGATTGGCTATATGAGAGTCCAGCACCCTAACTACCACACCACCTGCCGGCCTCTTGAAAATATTTTTTAAATAATTACTTCATTGATTTTATTCATTATTATTATTATTATTATTTTATTTATTTATATAGGACACATGCACTCACCGGAAAGCCAGATAGAGACAGAGAGACAGAAAACGAGAAATCACCCCTCAGGGGGAATGGCCACACCGCAATCCCTTTCTCCTCTATCCTCCTCTCAGGATCTTGGGCACGCATGCACACATGCCCAGCGTTTAAGTTTAAGCCACTGAATCCAGGACTCAAACTATGATCGACTATGTGGGAGTCCAGCAACGCAACCATTATGCCATCTGCTGGTCCCTATTATTATTATTATTATTTTTTATTTGACCAGAGAAAGACAGAGAGAGTGAGTGAGAGATCATGAGAAAGCAAGCTGCCAGACCCTGGACTCAGACTGCCATCGGCCATGTGGGAGTCCAGCGCCCCAACCACCATGCCACCTGCTGGCCCCTATTTTGAAGATATTTTATCTAAGTTATTTTCGTAACATGCTTTTCCATCACGACTAGTAAAATGAGTTACCGTGTCCTAATATTGAGTTTAAAAATTATCTTACAATACTGGGAACCAGCAGTTAGCGTAATGGCTATGTCGCTGGATTCCCACGTAGTCGACCGCGGTTCGTGTCCCGGACCCGGTGGCTTAAAACCCACGCCGGGCGCGTGTGCGTGCGTGCCCAAGATCCCGAGAGGAGAATGGAGGAGAAGGGATTGCGGCGTGACCATCCCCCCTGGGGGGTGATTTCTCGCTTTCTGTCTCTATGTCTCTCTCTGTCTGTCTGGCGAGCGCACGCGCCCTACAGTGAAAATCTCTCCAAAAAAAAAAAAAATTATCTTACAATACTTAATATTGATAGTAAACAGCCATGTAAATTTTCTTAGACTCTTAAATGTAATTAATTTGTCTAGATTAGATTTTTTTTCTTTTTTTTAGAGAGAGTTTTGTTACAGGGCACATGCACTTGCCGAAGAGACAGAGAGACAGAAGCAATGAATATCCCCCGGGGGGATGTCCACGCCACAGTCCCTTCTACTCCATGTTCCTCTCAGGATTTGGGGCATGCACGCACATGCGCCCAGCGAGAGTTTCAAGCTTCCAGGTCTGGGACTCTAACCACGGTTGGCCATGTGGGAGTCCAGTGATGTAACCACTTCGCCATCTACTGGTCCCAAGATTAATTTTTTTTAATTTTATTTTATTCATTTCTTTCTCAAGGGAGGGCACTTTGACAGAGTCTTTTCATGCCATGATCCTCCATATAGCCTACCAGCCAGCTAGCCAGGATCATAAGTGATCCATTCATGCCCCATCCCAGACCCAGACCTCCTGTGTGGTTCCAGTGTTGCCCAGCAGCACCTAACTACCTGTCCAGTTGCAGCTGAACCTAGATTAGATTTCTTAAAGGGAATGGGATTGAGGAATTAACATGTGGAGCAAAGCAACGGGACAATTTTAGATAACCCCCTTTGACCAGCTTCCAGATTTAAATAATGACAGAAGTTAAGTGATCACTTTCCCATCACCATTTTTGCTATTGTTTGTTTCCTGTGTGTTTTAGACTCCTGCAGACTTTGATTGCTCTATCTTTTGCTATGATGGAGACCAATAACATTGAAAGCTATAATTGTATGCATTTTAAAGTGAACATGTCTTTATGTTACCCAATTTTTCATATATACTGTTGGCTACATTTCACATAAAGATGAGCCTAACATATTTTGTGTAGTTGATAATGATCCATTTACAGCACTAAATACATTTTGGGGGCATCCTGAAATCTACTTATTCTTTATTCATTAGAATGGGGGGAACCAGCAGTTAACCTAATGGCTATGTCACTGGACTCCCACGTAGTCGACCGCGTTTCGTGTCCCGGACCCGGTGGCTTAGAACTCATGCCGGGCGCGTGTGCGTGCGTGCCCAAGATCCCGAGAGGAGAATGGAGGAGAAGGAATTGCAGCGTGACCATCCCCCCTGGGGGGTGATTTCTCACTTTCTGTCTATGTCTCTCTCTCTCTGGCGAGCGCACGCGCCCTATAGCGAAAACCTCTCAAAAAATAAAGAAAGAAAGAAAGAAAGAAAGAAAGAAAGAAAGAAAGAAAGAAAGAAAGGGAAATTCTATCTCAACACCTTTCTTTTAAAACTCCAACACTCTTCCAGCATGTTTTTGTTTTCAAGATTACATTAGCTTACTGGAGCTGCTATGATGAAATAACATAGACTGAGTAGTGTAAGTAAGAAAATTTTTATTTTCTTACAATTCTGGAGGCTGTAAGTCCAAACAAGGGTGTCAGCGAGTTTGGTTTCTTCTGAGGCCCTTTCTTTGGCTTAGAAATAGCTGCCTTCAGGATCAGCAGTTGGCATATAATGGTTATGTTGCTGGACTTCCACGTAATCAACCATGGTTCAAGTCCCAGACCCGGCAGCTTAAAACTCAGGCTAGGCATGTGTGGGTGTGTGCCCAAAATCCCAAGAGGAGAATGGAGGAGAAGGGATTGCAGTATGGCCATCCCCCCAGGGGGTGACTTCTTGCTTTATGTCTCTCTGTCTCTCTGGCAAGTGCATGTGCCCTATAACAAAATCTCTGTATATAAAATAAATGATTGCCTCTTCTCTGTGTCCTCTGTTGTCCTACCCTTTTCTTCTTAAAAAGACACTAACCATATTTGATCAGGGCCCACCATAATGGCCCAGTTTAACTTAATTACTTCTTCAAAGGCCTTGTTTCCAAATATGAGTGGACTTCAAAAAGTTTGTGGAAAATATAACTAAAGTCCAAGATTATATTGGTACAGAAATATTCTAAATCCATGCATGGTGTTTTTCATGATATACATTCTCCATAACTCTTTTTTTTTTTTTTCATTCTCCATAACTCTTTAGAGACATCTAATACAGTCACAATCTGAGGTACTTAAGGTTAGAGCTTCAACATATGAATTTGGAATGGGTACAATTCAGCCCAGAATAAAGACCAATTAATATATATGCATCTTAAGTAATTATAAGGAAACATAAAAAGAAAGCAGTCCTTAATCTCACTACCTGAAATGAACCAAGGATATACAATGTGTTGCTTCATGATAGGGGTAGATTGTAAGAAATGGATCATTAGGTTGTTTCATACTTGTGCTAACATTGTAGAGTGTACTTACACAACTCTAGGTAGTATAACTTACTACATACCTGGGCTATAGGAGATAGCCAAGACGCTCTTTATGTAACCACCATTATGTATATGGTCTGTTGTTGACCGAAAAGTCAGTATCTAACACATGACTGTAAACAGTCCTCCAGAACTCTTTTCTATTAATATATTTGGAATTGTTTATAAAAACAGGATTATCCTAGAGGGCTAGACAGTACCACAACAATAAAACACAGTGTTCTGGGACCAGCTGTTGGCATAATGGCTATGTCGCTGGACTCCCACGTAGTCGAATGCTATTTGAGTCCCAGACCTGGTGGCTTAAACTCACACCGGGCGCATGTGCGTGCGTGCCCAAGATCCCGAGAGGAGAATGGAGAAGAGATTGCAGCGTGGCCATCTCCCCGGGGGATGATTTCTCACTTTCTGTCTCTCTCTCTCTGTCCTTCTGGTGAGTGCAAGCGCCCTATAGCAGAAACCTCTCAAAAACAAACAAAGCACAATGTTCTTTGAAGCAGTCACAACAGGAAGGTTCCTGGTTCAAGTCTAGAGACCTCCCTGTGTATACCTGTAGATATGCATATCCATGATCTGGGATTGGATGAAGCTAGTGGTGGATCATGGTGCTATGACCCTGTTGGGAGTGCTAATTGTCTGTTTCTCTTACTCATGAAAGAAATAAGTTTTTAAAAAATAAAAGTAGTTATCTGGAACATGTCTAAGACTATGCTTTTTTTCTTTTTTATTTAATATTGGGTTGTTGAAAAAGTCATGACATTTTTTTCTACACAAAAAATGCATCATGATCTTCCCTAAATTTTTAGAATTTAGGTAATTTATATTTTTTCAGCTGTAAATGGAATAATTAAAAAGCTTTCAAAAAATTCCTACAGAAAAATTTTCAGTTCATATACTATTTTCTTCTATTACAAAGCATAATTTAATCTATTTTCATTTGAGCCATCTTTATAAGCCTCCATTATTATTTTAAAAGGTTTTTAAAAAGAATTATTGACTTAATTTTACTTATTTATTTATTTATTTATTTATTTTTAATTTGACCAGAAAGAGACAGAGAGAGAGAGAGGGAAAGTGAGAAAGCAAGCCATCAGGTCTAGGACTTGAACCGTAGTTTGCCATGTGGGAATCCAGTGCCTCAACCATCATACCACCTTCCAGCCCCAAGCCTCCCTTACTATACTGTTATTGTTAGCTATATTCGTAGATGAACACTTTCATAGCTTAGTCCATTTATCAGGTGGCCTCAGACTCTAGTTTCTGTTCTTGACTCTTACAGAATGTATTTTATCTTTTGTTTGCCGCTCTCATTTCATGGTGTTGTCACTGTCACTACTGATAGCATATTCTAATATGCTGTACTCTGAAAAGGCAGTGACTAAAATTGTTATATTCATCTTTAAATAATTTCTGACGAAGTCCCAAGTGATGCTAGTATGGTAACATCAGTTTGTATGCACACTTTTTAACATCTGTTTTTCATAGATTCGGAGACCTTTTCTTACTTTCTCATTTACTTTTCCTTATATTTTAGAGTGTTTAAGTTTCAAATTAATTGGCCTTTGTATCATTAAAGTAATATTTCACATGGGAAATCTTACTTTATGATATATTACATCTGAAAAATGTTACTACTTTATCCACCATTGTGATAATGATGTCTTCCTTTTTCTTCTTCATCAGGATTACCTGAACTGGAATTAGAAGCAATTGATAACCAATTTGGACAGCCAGGAACGGGTGATCAGATTCCATGGGCGAATAACTCAGTGACTGCTGTAAATCAGAATAAACCAGAAGAGTAAGTTATATTTTGTATTTCATAAAGTACCAGATACCAACTTCTAAAAAAAGAAGAACTACCTTTCCCATGCTTGATTCTAATCTACATTGATGTTTTGTGAGATATTAATAGATATAAACATTTAATGTAAAATTGGGGGAGGAGACACTGAGCTAAAAATTTATCGTATGATCATAAGACTAGTATACATTGTAGTGTACATTGTAGTCACAAAAAAGCTGATAGACTGTACATCTAGAGTTTTAGATTTCATTGATTACTCTGCTTTGATTGATTGCCATAATATTTCTAGGACCTGTGGATGAATTAGCCTCAGTGTAACTATGTCACTCATAAACTTACAGTTCTATAATAATTGTCCAGCATTTTTCTTTGTTTGGAGAAGGAAGGCATAAGGAAGAAAGTTACTCTTTAGATCTACTAAGTGTCCCATCTTGATAAGATTTTAACCCATGGGGGCAGCAGGTGGTATAGTGGTTGGGACGCTGGACTCTCGGACTGGCAGCTTGAGAATCACACTGGGCCAAGTGTGTGTGCACGCTCAAAATTCCAGGGGGAGAGTAGAGGAGAAGGGACTGTGACATGGCCATCTCCCAGGGGGATGATTTTTCACTTTCCCTCTCGCTGTCTTTCTCCGGTGAGCGTACACACCCTATGACAAAAACCTTAAAAAAAAAAAAAAAGACTTTAATCCGCACAGGCAGTTGTATTCCGTAGCACAGAGTATATCTCATACCTGGCAGCAAAGGATGACTAGATAGTATTAAGGGAGGTTTAGAAATTTAACTGTGTTCCTATTTACCTTCCCAGAACAAGATCTTTATGATTGAATTAATGTTATTAGTATTATTTTTATGCACATATACTTCTATAGTTTACTGTTTTATTTATCAGTTGGTATCAGTTGGATTAGATTACATATTTTTTACATGTAATCAGTGAACAGTTTGTTTTTTTGCTTAACACTAGCTTATTTTATTTTACAGTTGGGGTTCTTTTGTAAACAATAGTCCTAGCAATGTGATTTGATTATCTTGAAAGTTAAGTAATGTAATATGTACTGTTTTGATTATGGTTCGATTATCAACAATTAATGACACCCATAGAATGAAGAGAATAAGTAGAATAAATCTGAATATAGGCTAAATGATTTTTTCTGCATTTTTGACTAATTTTTATCTTTTACTTTTATTAAAGACTTTTTCTCCTTTTTAAAAAATAATGTTTGGTTAATTTTTCAGACTATTTCTATAAACTAACATTAAGCATATGGAAACAGAATTCAATGATAGACAAAAGAATTAAAAATATATTCAAGCTATGTGGCAAATACTCATTTAATTTCTGGACATTAGTCACAGAGCTTTTAATTGCACTAGAACCGATTGCAAAGCATCTCAACAGAGAATTTTCTAGAACTAGTTTTACATAGATATGTACATGTGTGTATATATTTGCATTCTTAAAATTGAAATATTCATTTTTCCTTGTCTGTCTGAAATTTCCTTGTCTTTTGATCCTGCAGCCCGTGTATCAGTTCACAGTTAGACGAGCTTCTCTGTCCACCAACGACAGTAGAAGGAAGAAATGATGAGAAAGCTCTCCTCGAGCAGCTGGTGTCCTTCCTCAGTGGCAAAGATGAAACTGAGCTGGCTGAGCTAGACAGAGCTCTGGGGATTGACAAACTTGTTCAGGTATTTATTAAAGTTGGACTCATTTAAATGATGTAGCCCTAAGAAACTGGAATGTTATATAAAGTAGGATCTTTCAGTATTGTTCCCACTATGCATTAGCTGGCTTTATAATTTTCCCCTGGTGAAAATTATTAAAATATGTAATAGGAAAATAATAGGCTTTTAAAATAAGAAGTAGCATAATAATTAGAAATAGTTAGAATTAGAAAATCTTAGCTTTTCACTGTGAAACAGAGTCTTACAAGCTCCAGCTTGAGCCAAATTCAGACTTATATCATCACCTATTTTAGGACCTAATTTCTCCTTCACCTGTTCTTGTCTTCATCTGTATATTCCATGATGTCCCAAGTTTCAGGTTAGCATTTTTCGGTCTCTGGGGTGATAGAATCAATTTAGTGTATCCATAAACAGCATTTTTTAATGGAGTGGAATAGTGACAAACACAAAGTGCATAGCCCATTGAAAAGGGGAAATGATCTTTTTTGAAACTCTTTTAGTTACACATGCACATGCACACACAGAGTCACAGTTTACATTTCTCATAGTAGGTACCAATCAAAACATTCAGAATTTTTAACTATGGCTTTCTGTTATATGAATTTTTCTATTCTTTTTTTAAAGAATTATTTTATTTAACTTTATTTATTTATCTTATTTAATTTGATCAGAGAGGGACAGAGCGAGAGCGGGAAAGAGAAAGGGAAAGTGAGAAAGCAAGCCGCCAGGTCCAGGACTTGAATCACAGTTGGCCATGTGGGAGTCCACTGTCCTTAGCCACCATGCCACCTGTTGGCCCCTCTATTCTTTTTTTTTTTTTAAGAATATTTTTGTTGGGAACCAGCAGTTAGCGTAATGGCTATGTCGCTGGACTCCCATGTAGTCGACTGTGGTTCGCGTCCCGGACCCGGTGGCTTAAAACTCACGCCAGGCGCGTGTGCGTGCGTGCCCAAGATCCCAAGAGGAGAATGGAGGAGAAGGGATTGCGGTGTGACCATCCCCCTGGGGGGTGATTTCTCGCTTTCTGTCTCTATGTCTCTCTCTGTCTGTCTGGCGAATGCACGTGCCCTATAGCGAAAATCTCTCCAAAAAAAGAAAAAAGAATATTTTTGTTGTTGTTGTTGTTTTGCTATAGGGCACATGCACTCACCAAAGAGACAGAGAGAGAGAAATCACCCCTGAGGGGGGATGGCCACACCACAGTCCCTTTTCCCTCATTCTCCCCTCCCCTCAGGATCTTGGGTACACATGGACACACATCCAGCCTGAGTTTTAAGCTGCCAGTTCAGGACTTGAACCACGGTCAACTACGTGGGAGTCCAGCAACATAACCATTATGCCATCTTCTGGTCCTGGATTTTTCTTTTAGTAAAAGCATGAGTTTTGTATTTAAGATAGAAAAAGAAATGCCTGATTGATTCCCTCCTTCAGGACTTGCCTTCTCATGATAGCCTATTAATATTAAATGTAAAGTTTATTGATTATCAGGTTTTGCAGTGAAGTTTTTTTTAAACCATTTAGCTTTATTTCAGTGATTTAGTGACTTTTAACCACATTTTTACCTCTTTATTGAGATTTAAAATATTCCCATTAATCTATTATTCCATTTCAAAAACAACTTCCATAAATGATTCCTTTGTGTAGCAAACTTCTGAAGACCATAAATTCAGAATGAATATAAATATATATATAAAATGCCACTTTCTAGAGATAACCTGTTCTCAGATCTGAAAGTATTTACAGAAGCATGTTATTTACTGGCATAAATGTGTCTTTCTTAACAGGGAGGTGGACTGGATGTATTATCAGAGAGATTTCCACCACAGCAGGCAACACCACCTTTGATGATGGAGGAAAGACCCAACCTTTATTCTCAGCCTTACTCTTCTCCTTCTCCTACTGCCAATCTCCCTAGCCCTTTCCAAGGGATGGTTAGGCAGAAACCTTCACTGGGGACTATGCCTGTTCAAGTAACACCTCCCCGAGGGGCTTTTTCACCCAGCATGGGCATGCAGCCCAGGCAGACTCTTAACAGACCCCCAGCTGCACCTAACCAACTTCGGCTTCAACTTCAACAGCGGTTACAGGGACAACAGCAGGTGAGTGCCTTGGTTAGCAGTTGAGACTTCATCATGGTATACGCCAGATCTGTCCATGATGGGACAGACAGCCCAATTGCCACAACACAGATAGCAAGTCTACTCCCCAAACCTTCATGAAAGACTCAAGGAACCATTTTTGGTCTGCTAGGATAGGGATAAAGGACCTTTTCTTCAATTAAAAACTGCTAGTTCACCACAAAGCACTTAGAGACCTGCAACTAAAAAGCAACATTTTCAGTCATCAGAAAAGTCGTGACACATTTTGGATAGAAAATATATCGTGACTTTTAGGATGACCTGATCATTCTTTTTGAAATATAAACCATTTAGAATGAACATCAGATAATTATTACTTCAATGAAGAAAAGTGTAACTCGATACAGAGCAACAACAGATATTGGTTATGATTGTTGGGATAGAATATAAAGTTTATGTGTGTTGTTTGAAGTCAGAGAGATTGATGCCTAGTGATACTGTGTTATGAGAATGAAGGAAAGGACAGTTGGAGGCCTGGGAGTTGTGAGTGAGTGAAATCTTTTCTTTAATGATAGGAAATAAAAAGGTATAGAGGCATTAAGTGTTCAAGGTTTTATAATCCCAGACATGGAGATAATGATTAAGGACCGCAAAAGCCAGTGGTCAAAAGTGTTGACAGTGGGACCAGAACTGTAGGTTTTTGCCTCTCATTTTTTATCTTTCTGTATTATTTTGATAATCATGTGTGTATAGTGCTTTGGATTTTTAACATAAGTATTTAAAGAAATCCTCTGGGGGCCAGCAGATGAAGTAATGGTTAACTAGTTGACCACAGTTTAAGTCCCGGACCCAGTGGCTTAAACTCACACTGGGTATGTGTGTGTGTGCATGCCCAAAATCCCGAGAGGAGAATAGAGGAGAAGGGATTGCAGAGTGGCCACATCCTCAGCGAGGTGATTTCTCACTTTCTCTGTCTGTCCAGTGAGCACACACACCCTATAGCAAAAATCTACAAAAAGGAAGAAAGAAAGAAATCCTCTAGAACCTTACTAGTTTAGGAAGGAAGAAAAAGAAGATAAATTATATTAGAGGCAGTATGATAAAATAGCTGTATAAGTTAGCTTTGGTTTTAAGTCCCAGTTCTATACTTAGGTGGGTTTCCTTATTCAAATTGCTTACCCTTTAAAAGCCTCTAATTTTTCATCTATAAAGAATATAATAAATAATTCTTTACCTTATAGTTAGTTATATGGATTAAACGAGATAGATAAAGCATGTAAAACTTTTAGCAGAATACCTGGCATACTGTAACACTTAATAAATACCATCTATTATTACAAAATTATATTTAATAAATATAATAGATGATATAAAATTTGCTTTCATTCCACTCAAAAAAAAAATAAAAAGAAGAATGAGAGAGAGGAGAAGAAAGGGAAAGATGATATTGGAAAAAAATGTTAATAGTACAATAACTAAAAAAGGAATAATTTTAAAATTCTGTGGTAGAATAAAAGACTCAAGGAAGTATAAGAAACCACAAGAAACAAAGAGGGAATTTCGGTATGTCGTGAGGTATGAATTGAAGATAAACTACTTGTTGTAGCTTGCCATTCAAAGCGCATAAGAATGAGGAATACCTAATAATTTCTCCAAACTTGATTTTTCACAAAACATATTTAGGGTACCCTTACTAGGAACTGTGAGAAAAACAGAATGAAAGATATACATGGCTTCCAGAACTTACAGTTGCTTAGGGTAGTGAAAATACATGATTAGCGCTGAAGCAGAAAATAGGGGAAGTGCAGGTACGATGACTTCCTTGTTTTACAAGCTAGGGGTCAGCAAATCTGCCTGAGATTACAGATTCAGTGAGCAAGGCCAGACCAAGGGTCTAGGTGAGGTTCTTGAATAGATAAAATGGTCATTTGTATCTATCTTTTAAAAGAATTATTTTACTTAACTTTGTTTATTTATTTATTTATTTATTTTTAATTTGACCAGAGAAGGACAGAGAGAGAGGGGAAGTGAGAAAGCAAGCTGCGAGGTCTGGGATTCTAACGTGGTCAGCCATTTGGGAGTCCAGCGCCCTTAACCACCACCACACCACCTACCAGCCCCCGTTTGTATCTATTTTAGAAGAAAGTTGTTTGTTACTCCTCTATAAAGCAGTTGAAAAGCAGAGTAGCCTTAGAAAGGACAAGCATGCAGTAAGGAGGTAGGTGATCGTGCTGCCATCTGTTTCCTTTAAATCCATGTGGTGTGTCTGGAATTGATGGTCTTCACCCAACAGAGTGAAGTCACTACCAAGGTGAAGAAAGAGAATTGGAGGCTCTCTGTGGTTTAAGCCCCCAGATATCTCAGTTTATAAACAACTTCTGCAACCACATTAGACAGTCACATAAATACCTGACAACACACACATCTAGGCTGCTCTTTGTTCTGGGCCCTAAATTCTCGCTATTTCAGCAGTGAAGGGCTCAGCTCCACTTGCACTGCAGGATCTTGGACTCTCACAGGTGTGTCTATTTACGGGCTTTCTGTGAGGACTAGCCTAGGGATATGGCAGTCAGTGTCTCAACTAAGATGCTTGTAGCAACACACAAAAACAGTGATCACCCAAAGTAGTAAAAACAATACAGAAAATATTGACTCAGATATTAAAACAATCCAAAATAGAGGCAGGTCCAGATGTGGTTACTTCAGAGATTCAGGGATGGTATCAAATGCCCAGGTTCTTTCAGTCATTTCGCTGTGCAATCCTTGGCATACCATGGTTACAAATGCCATATGCGAACCAACTATATCTAGAAGGAGAAAAGGATGGTTTATTTCTTATGTCTCTTTTCAAAAGTCAGGAAACTTTTTCCAGAGACTTTCTTCTCACTCTTCTCACCTATTCACTCACCCCCTTAAATTAAAAAGACTTAACATGCCTGGGTGCGTGGCATGGACACTTTTAACCAGTTGCTGACAAGGATTGGCTTATAGCATTCTTGAGTTACTGGAGTCATGTGATTTGGGATGATCAGCTGAAAAAAATTCCATTCTGTCATCAAGGAAGAAGGGGAAAAGCCATTACGGTACCTGAGAAAATCAAGAAATTGAGGTTTAAATGTATTCTTTACAGTTATGTAGTTAAGTTCACTGTTTGAATCAAATACTAAGCCAGGTCGGGTAGCTACCTTTTCTCCTGCCTTAAATCCTGTTGAATGACAGGTTGTTTATTTTAAGTGGATAAATTCATATCAGTGTAGATTTTTCAAAAAGACAAAATACCATTAGCACACTAAAAAAAAGTCAGTTTGAAATATAAAAAACAAACATGGAAAAGAAAAAAAATTATTATACGGAAGTAATACAACTGCTTACATAGAAATTCCAAAAGACTACACCAAAGAACAAGTAAAGAAGCTCAGTAATATTTTTAGATAAGCAAAACAGGAAATAAAAATTAATGGCAATCCTTTTTACTCACAACCAGTTAGAAAATACAATTTCAAAATACAAAATTTAGAAAATTATGAAGCATAATTGAAAGACAAAAAGAAGATCCAAGTAGCAGTAACTCAGAAATTGAAAGACTATTATCCCAAAATTAATCAGAAAGTTCAGTGAAATTCTAACAAAATCTCAACATGGAATTTGACAGATGGTTGCTAAGTTTATTTCAGAAGCATCAATATAGTCTAGAGGAGAGCTGACCCAGCTGAGGTAGCATACGCTGGTTGATACTGCCACTCAACAGGGTGGGGTCATATAGGAGGCCATGGTTCAGTTCCCAGTCCACCCTGAAAACTGGGTACTGTGGTGCATGCCTGTGGTCTCAGCTACTCAAAGGGTGAGGTAAGAGAATCACAACATAATGAGCCTGTTAAAAAAAATAATAATAGCAGCACCAGCAGTTGGCATGGTGGTTGGGGTGCTGGACTCCCACATGGCTGACTGCAGTTCGAGTTCCAGACCTGGCAACCTGCTTTCTCATTTTCCCACTGTCTCTCTCTCTGTTAAGTGCATATGCCCTATAGCAAATTTTAAAATAATAATAAATTAAAATTAATTAACTAATAAAATTAAATAAATAAAAATAAGTAATTATTTTTTAAAAAATAATAATAACATGGCCAGCCAAAGGTATATTAGGTAAGGCAACTAAATCCCACATGGCTGACTGTGCATTCCAAGCCCTGGTCCTGAGGCTTGAAAAACACACTGGGCACATGGACATGAGTTCCCAGGAGGGAGAAATGGAGTAGAAGGGACTGCATGACCACCCCCACAGGGAGGTGCTTTCTTAATATCTCCCTTTCTCTAACAAGTACACACATCCTCTGAAAAATTGCAAGAAGACAAAACAAAACAGAACAATAATAAAAATGAGAAGGCCATCCCATGGCCTGGTGGTTACAGCAGCTGGATCCCACGTGGCTGACTATGTGGTTGGAGTCTCAGACTAGGAGCTTGAGAAACATGCCAGGAGCATGTGCATGAGTGCCTAAAGTTTCAAAAGAAGGGATAGATGGAGGAGAAGGGATTGTGGCATTACCATGCCCTCCTTTCTCTCTGCCTCTCTCCAGCAAATAATGCATCCTTTAATGAATTTTTAAAAACGAAGAAAGAAATGGGGCCGGCAGGTGGCATGGTGGTTAAGAGCACTGGACTTCCACATGGCTGACCGTGGTTTGAGTCCTGGAACTGGTGGCTCACTTTCTCACTTTTTCTTTATTTTTCTTTTCTTTTCTTTTTCTTTTTCTTTTTCTTTTTCTTTTTCTTTTTTTTTTTTTTTTTTTTTTTTGAGGGGTTTTTTCTTTTGGGACCGTGGGCCTTTTTTTTTTGAGAGGTTTTTGCTATAGGGCACGTGTGCTCGCCAGACAGACAGAGAGAGACAGAGTTCCAGAAAGCGAGAAATCACCCCCCAGGGGGGATGGCCACGCCGCAATCCCTTCTCCTCCGTTCTCCTCTTGGGATCTTGGGCACGCACGCACACATGCCCGATGTGAGTTTTAAGCCACCAGGTCCAG